TCAGCGAGACAGGCAGCGAGGCCTCGCCGCGGGTGCCCTCAGCGATGCGGGCCCGGGTCTCACCGCTGATCCCCTCAGCGAGGCGGGCCCGGGTCTCACCGCTGATCCCCTCAGCGAGGCGGGCCGGGGTCTCGCCGCTCCTAGACGGGAGCCAAGGAAGGGGAAGAGCTCCGACCCGGCCTCGTGCAGCGCTGGGCTTGTCCCTGCCCTCCCTTGAAGCAAACAAAGGCCGGGTAATACGGCCCTGTCAGCCCAAACAGCAGAACTCAATTAATTAATCAAAACCTGGCTTTAAAGGCCAGTCCCTCCTCACAGCTGGCACAAGGAGCTGCTCAGCCATTTCCTAATTTCATGTACATCTACCAGCGCTGTTCTGGAAAATGACATGTAAACAGTACATAAGACACATGTGGTTGCCTTTTGCCTGTGTTTTATTGGTTCAGTGCACAAGTGTAAGGGTTACAAAGTCACTGCAGTTTGGGTGAGGAAGCTCAGAAGAAGCATTCGGCAGGATTAAGACAGGGACAGGAGTTGTTCAGCCTTGTTGAAGAAATTCTGTCCTTCATCTACAATACAGACCAGAGCTAGTTAGTTCCTATGTTGCCTGGAGGGAAAAAAAAAAAAAAAAAGAGAAAAAATAAGTAAAAGTAGCAGTACGGATTTGCAAACACCATAGAAATAAATTAAACATTTGCCTTTTCTTAAAAAAAAAAGTTCTATAATTTGCACTCCACTTGCAGTGAGTTGGGTGAGTGAGTCTGCACTTTCCCACTGCATACAGAAACGAGCCTGTGGGTGAGGCAGCACTGACAGAGAGGATGCAGCAGAGAAGGGCATCAGCCCTGGGCCCTGCCAGCCCTGTCCCAAAGGAAGTGTCTCAGGAGCATCATCATCCCCTCGTGCTGTTCCACAAAAGTGTCACACCACGGCAGAAAGGTCAGGGAGCACAATGGCAGCATTTCCCTGAGGAACCAAAACCTGTGCGGAAGCACGTCCAGGGATGTGAGAGCCAGTGCCAACAGCAGGCCCTGGCACACAGAGCTGTGTGTCACCCACCCCTCTGGATGGGTGGCAGAGGCAGGAAAGGTCCCAGCTGCAGTGAGGCACCTCAGCCACCTGCTCAAGGAAGATATTTAGGATTAACTAAGGTGAAATTCTCAAGACTTAGTGGATGTTCACGGAGTTCTTGGTCACTCTGGAGGCAGTACAGTGTATTCAGTAGTGCAGTTTCAGTTACACACACCTTCCATAATCCTTTAAACCTGTTAATTCCTCAGATGGGGAAAATGCTCATACCCTGCTCATAACTTACAACTTTATTTCCCAAACTGAACTAACAGTAAGTACCAGCTATGTGCACAGAACTCGTGCAGCTTTTCTTCACACCAGCAGCTTCTGGCTGATGTGCTTTGCTGAAGCCAGTAAAAAATTTTTGAAGCAACTACAACACATACAAGAGCACAACTTTTCAGTATGTTTGGCATTCCATGCCATGCCCTGCCCTTTCTTTAAATCTCCAGATGGTGAGATAAAAGCTTCATTTATGTACCTCATCTCTTGAAGATTAGAATCTTTCTAAAGAAAAATTATTATGAAATCTTTTTATACTGATTACTTTGGTATAGTTCAAGAATTCTTAAGAGACACTGGTCAACCAAGTTGGAAAAAGAATAATTTATGAAGAAGGCAATTTACCACATTATAAAAAGTGGATCCATTCTACATGTATGATCTACAAGTGGGCAGTATTTGTATCATAATTGCTAGTCTGCAACTAAAAATAGCTCCAGACAGAAGCTGTAATAAATCACCATTTTATGTAGTGTAGGTATGTCTGCTATTTCCTTTTAGCAAATGCAGAATGCAAATATACTTAAAGTGTCACTGACCACTGTGAGGACTTAAGGACTGCTGAGCATCTAAACCCAATTCAGATCTAGGGGATATGTAAGATAATGTTTAAACACACAGAAAACACGTTTCAGAAATTTTCTGTCATCCCTGAGTTTCCCACTTACTTTTTAGGATGTCTCAAATATTAACTTGCTTTTGCCTTGGGTAGATAAAAACCTTTCTTTCCTTAGGTTTGCTAATTTTTGTACCACTTGTAAACTACTGCCAAATCTAATTTGGAAGGCAGAAACTATTGCTAATATAACAGCTAACAAGAATTTGCCAAATCCCTCAATTTGGGATTTGTTCCTCAGTTGAAGGACACTGGACAAACAATATTTGCTATATTGATGCAATGTTTGTGCTCCAGGTTATTTCAGTCATACCTTTCAAATAATGCTGATTTAAAACAATAACCAAAAAAAGGAGAATGTTAACAGTTTAAGTCAGTAGATAATTCTTAATCAAATTGGAAATTGTGTCTCATGTCACCTTTACAGGCATTGCTTAGAAGTCACTTTAAAAGGGCATTTCATGACACTAAATGTCTGGAAAAATGGTTTCCTAGGAAACTGAAGGTCATCAAACGAATATACTCAGATTTAAGCAATCACTACAGAAATAAAGGATTTTTCTAGACAGCTCTAAAGAACAGTGAAGTTCAGGAACAACAAAGACAGGCAAAAACCCTTGTGGTTCACCACTAGTTAAACTAAACTTTACAGATACAACCCAGCAGGACACCTTTCCACAAACTGTATCAAAAATAGAGTAGAAATGCCAACTGTATAAAAACTACATGGAATATTTCATACAAAATACTCTAAAATACTTTTCATTATGTAACTTTTATTTGAGACACACATTGTAAAAAAGTTCACATGAAATAATAAAACTATTGGACTATGAAGGTTTTCTTAGGAGCTGGGTTTGGTTTTTTTATCTATATACATCAATACACATTTAATGATTAGGTTTACAAGTTAACCACATGACAAGTTCACTTTTATCTGCAGGAGCTTTTCACATTACACCTTTATACCAGAGGTAAAATGTGCTTAAACACACACAGCAGAACACTTCTATTTCAAAATTAAGCATTTTCTCAAGGACTATACTTTTTATTCTGAATTTAGTAGCTATATAGCATTAAAATAATGGTAATTGAAGTTTTATTTGCAAAAATGTTCGTAAGGCCATAGGAATGCACTGAAATAGTTATATTCAGCAGAAACAAGAAAAATCAATGTAAATCCTGCTTTTTTGGAAGAAAGAAATACAAGTTTTATTTGTAAGAGTGAGAATGGTATAAGCAGTTCAATGAACAGAGGAGAAAAAAGACCTATTATTACCTACAGACCAATCCTTAGCAAGTTTAACATTGCAAAAATTCTGTTACATTAACAGGTAACCCAACAACAGATGCATTTTCACAAATAACACATTTATGCATTTTACATATTATTGATGGACTTTCAAATCATTATGCTTTCACAATATTTTAATGTGATATGTACATTCAAGACTTCTTTATTCACTTGTGAAAATGATCCACGTAATTCTCTTAACTTCAGCAGACTAGTAGGAGAAAGCCACAATGGGAAATATTTTCTGTGAAAAGAGCTACAGGTCTGAAAAGTCAATCAGCATTTTTGAGACTGTCCCCCAAAGAGAAAAGTGAGCTGCATTAAGTTTCATGAGTGGTTTAAGCTTTAGCAATATTAGAACTCCCAGATAAGTCAATAACACATTCTATATACACTCAACAAAAAAATTCTTGTGCATGTTTTGCTGAGCACAGACTGAAAGCTAAAATTGCAAAGCACTGAGACCAGTTTGTTTTTCATTTGGCTTTTTTAAAAAAAAAACCATTTAGAAAAACATAGGTCAAGATATAGTGCACAGGCATGGGGCTGAGGGAAAGTTCTCCTAAAACTCCAAAGCATAAGCAGCATTTTGTTTTATTGAAATCCACCAAAAAAGTCTGCTTTCCTGAAAGGTTAATGGCAATTTCTGGAAGAAAACAGAAATACATTTGCTGCTAAGTGAATAGTAAGTATATGACTTTCATTCTAATGGGCATTAGAGCACTAACTAGTTGACTGAGGTATAGTTAAGAGTCCTTCAAAACTTAAGATTATATAGTCTTGAGCAAAGTAACAACAGAGACTGCACAAAACAATCATAGTGATATTAGAAAAGCCTGTAATAGCCAGCATCTGATGCCTAGGCAGGACATACCATCATCATCACCCGCTTGTCTAGAGGAAACCAGAGCTAAAATATCCCAGTAAAACATACAGCTGATTTGCATGCTAAGATACAGCACATTTCCCCACGTCTGACAGGGCAGACTGTACACAGAAAGGTCTCTACTGACCAAAAGTTAGCACACTGATAAAGTGCAGCCACTCAGCCATTTAATACTGCTGGAGAAGTGGGGTGGGGGCAAAGACATAAAGAAAGAAATCTGCATTTTACCTTATCCATAAGATCACATGAAATTAGAATTCTTCAGTTTCAGCAGATGACAACAAAATTGCATTAAATTCTTCTACAAATAGAAAAAGATGAACTGTACACGAACAATAAGCAAAGGGAAATATTTACTGCAGTACTTTCTCATGCATAAAGTGAATTTCCTATGGTCTTACCTCACATTTATGTACAGTTTAGCACAGCTAAATGTAAGAAAATAGCAAGTTCTTTTCTCCCTCCCACCCTCCCCCGTACAGAGCAGATACCCCAATTCGCTGCTGCTTCAAGAAGCACTTCATAGACTCTACTACTTACAGGCTCTTTCAAAGGGAAGTTCATGGAGACTAATATTGAATGAACATTTAACCACACAGTGAAGACAGGAAAAACAATACAAAGCATTCTGTAAACAGTGCCAAACACAGAACATGTCAGTTTTGGTTTGCAGACAACCCCTGAGATAAAAATCAAAGTATTACGACACCAAGTAAGTCAGAGGTAAATTACTGAAAATAAACAACATTCATAATTGGTGTCACAACACTTTCTGTATAGAAGCACTTTTTTTAACCATACAGAAAACATAACTGCTTTAGCCTGTCCAAGAAAAACATCAAGGGTAGACAACAGAGCAGTTAGGGTTGCTTTGTTTTTTCACTAAACCTTGTTGCCATGAAGGTTTCTCTGTTCTAGTGCAGCAACAGCAGTTTATGAGATCCACCATCTAGTTACAAGAACTACTTCTATTAAACTACGTGTGGGGACAGGCTGATAACCACCTAAAACTTTATGGAACCAGCTACTAAGGATAAACCCTTTAAAATCAAAAGCTTTACATCTAATGCTATCGGCCTGTTTGCTTTCAAGCTATTCCAAACAGACCCAGAGATGACAAAATTCAGTACCTGACACAACAAAATGGTTCTCTGTGGTAACAACTAACTCACTGTTTACAACTCCAGACAACCAAGTGAAGCAAAAGCATGTCAGACATTTCCTTTGACAATGACAGAACACGCCCATCCCCTAACAGCAAACATGCTGGACACAAACTTGGAGTTAAAGCTTACAATGGTCCACGTTTGGCACACCAACAGAACTAAAGCACCTGTTTTAATTGCTCATTGAGGAAATTTCTCAGAAGACAATAAAAAAGTAGTAGAACAAAGACTAGGTTATACAATGCTCAGTTGAGTAAAAAAAGGCAACTATGTTTCACCTCTGCTTCTAACAGTCTAGGTCACTGTACCAGTTTTTGATGAAAAAACAACTGCTCGAGCAGACCAAAGACACACATTCAGCATTAACTGCAAACTAGGAGTACATTAGAGCCCTAATGAGGGGCTTCCTTAGTGCCAATGCTTACAGACGTTAACAAACTATCCTTAGAATTAAGAGTAGAAATGGAAGTCACCTTTAGAAGCAGTCATTTCTGAACAAGTGAATCCACAAAGAGGTTACTCAAAACTCATGCATTCAGCTTCCACAAGCCACTTAAGTGATAGTGATGAGGCCAATTTGTGGTGATGATTTCAAATCCAGAGTGTGCTTCCTCATCAGAAACAAAACAAGGAGCAGACAGTCTGAGCTAACAAAGGGAAGTTAGGTGAGGAAAGACACTGTGTTTATTCAAACAACTGAAAGGTGCATCTGTGAATCAGACAGTGACTGGCAATTCAGAACACAACTTTGCTAAGTCTGGTAAAGAAAGAAAAGCATACTACATTCAGAATAGAAGCCACAGCTTCTGCATAAACAGATTTGTGCATCTAAGAGACAAAATCTGGACAAATTTGTTAAATGCCAATTGTTACAGCAATTCTCATCACTAGAGCAACAGCATCCATACTGCATGGCCACGAGTATACAGCATAGAAAATAATGGAAATGAGACTTAATTTTTCCCCTGGCTCTTCTGCTTGAAAGTTAATTTGTTTAAAAAGAGAAATAAAACTGTGCACAAATCTGTTAGGAATCTTACTTACAAGTCAAACTGTGCAAATACAAATGTAAGATTGTGCTGTAACAGGCAGTAAGAGGCCAATATGGATGTGCAAAGTTAAAAGAAACATAGCAGCTTTTGCAACAGGCAATAAAACTGAAAGTAAAAAAGGAAAACAAGTTAAATCTTGCATTTGTGTCTCCACTTCATAGCTTCCATATCTGAGAAAGAAGAGCCTGACAGGTCAATAGGCTTAGTGAGCAAAATCCACTTGGTATTTGTGTATCGCAGTCTACGTTCAATGGAGCTCTCAGCAGCAGCTTGGTGGTATTATTTCTGAGGCTTTGTGACCCTGTGCTTTCAAAGAAGCAGAAAAGGTTCTAAGTGTGCTGCAGTCTTATCATTAGAAGTTCATCAAAGTAGCGTGCATCGAAAGAAGCTGCTCTTCTTAGATCGATTTTCTGTTATTTTTACTGGCCCACCTGCCCCCGATGAACTGTTGTCATTCTGAAAGAGAAAAGAGTGTCAACATCACAAAATGCAGAAAATAGCATCTCTAGCTTTCCTAGTCTCCCTTCCCACTTCCTCTGCTTGCAAAGCAATAATCAGAGCAGATATCTCATGCAACATGAGCTCCTCAGTTATCCAGACTTCATTAAGCACTTGGCAAAAAAATTAACATTTACATAACAATCCAGATCTCAAGAATTAGCTGGAAAAGGGACTACACAACAAAACACAGATCACACTATTGCATTTTAGAACAACACATTAGTTTCGGGCTGCCCAGTGTGAATGTTCATGCAAAATAATGAATAGTAATGCACTGATGTGTAATAAAGCATGATAAATCACTGTTTGCTCAAATTTTATCTAGTAACTAATGCAATCCCCAGGAGATTTTGGTAGGGCTACTACTCAGCATTATGATAGCTGTACTCTCACTGTATCTAGTTTGTATGCTAATTGGAAATACAAACCATTTTTCTGTTGAGCTTTGTCATAATGTCTCGTGCAAGTGTGAAAAACGCCTGGTGAGGAGGGGAAATAAAGAAAAAACAAACAAGAGTTAGTCACAAGACACATTCAGGACATGATAAACTTGGACTAGCCAGACACATTAACAATACAGTGTTCTGTAGGCCACTAGAAGCACTTTGAGATGAAAGACACTCTATGTACAATATCTGTATATTTAAAACTTCAGCAAATGTGCTTTAGAAGGAAAAACTATTTATTTTTAGCCTCCATCTTGCCAATCTTTGAAGCAAATGAACAGATCTCCCCATTGCATACCTCTGGGGGGAGAAAGAAAAATCAGCTGAAGACAAGGCTGCATTTACTAATCCTGTTTTTATTTCCCACCCAAACTGAACTGTGCATCACAATCAGGAACCCAGAGAGGTCTGAGAAGGGCAAGCCTGGGAATCCCCATTAAGGTTAGCTTGCTTTCTGTCCTCCAAAAGCTTTACTCTGGACTATCTGTAAGGCTATTTAAGCTTCCAGTATCTCAATTAAAGACACAAACCCATGAATAATTACTCTGGCAAATCTCAGCATCTCAGATTTCAATGCATGAAGGAGCAAAGGAACTTCAGTAGCAGGAAAGCTCTGCAATTCTCCAGGAGCAGGAAAAAGCAAGACTTTAGGCTGTCTGGAGACCCTAATAATCAAAGGACAGTTCCAGAATGTAAGAACTATAAACACTTCCCCTCTCATTGTGTTTGGAATGTAGCCAAAGACAGGCACTCATTTAATGTAAATAAATCACAACAGATAAATTAATGCACTTCAGATCCCAAGAACATCACAATTGTGTAATTCCCTGCAAGTAAAGTATTTGGTGGAAAGTAAACCAAATCATTAGTGATTGCCAAATGCCTACATCAGCTGCATTTTTTAATGCTTTCTTCACCATTCATGTGACAATTTAAAAAAATATTCAGAGAGCCAAACATTTTGGAGTAAGCACAAACTGCTGTTGTGTATTTCATGACATGCAGGGGTTAAAATGAAAGTGCCATGTCATGAGAGAGCCAAATCATCCCTCCAGAGGAACTCAGGTCTCCCCTCTGCTACTGACTCCTCGTGGCCCCACTTCCAGAGTCTGCTCTAAGAACCACAAGGACACTGAAAATCAGGTCAGGCTAGTCCAGCATGATGCAGATCAGTCCATTCTAACTCTATCCTGTAAAACAATCACCCCACAATCACAAAAAAACCACCCCTGGCTGGCACAACATCCCTCTTGTTATTTTAAAGCAACAATGTCTTCAGTTTCTAGTTAACTTGTCAGATACACAAGCTGAATTAAGTAGGTATTTGCAGGACTTTTAAAGAAAAAAAAATCCCACAGAAAGACTTTTAAATGATTAGGTATAAGGACAACACAAGTCTACATTGCTGGATGAATAAATCTTATTTTAACTGGCCTTAGGTAGAGTTATTTTTTTGTCCACACTTGTTACACAGCTCAGATCCTCCCCCACCCTCCCTGAGATGACAGCAGTGATTTATAGTGAGATAGACTGGACTTGGGCCACTCTTCCTTCCCACTCTCTTTCCTGAAACTCTCACGGGGATCTTGTGAGTTTAGCATGAAATTGATTTACAGGAAAACAGATTATAAATCTATAAATAGCATTGTGAGTCTTCTTCCTCCCCTAACATGAGCTTATGACCTGGTGTTCAGGTTAGTACACGAATTTTCAGCCTCATCTGCACAGCATGTATTTGGCAGTAACCTCTGTGACACAGTAGCATGTTACCCTGAAAATAAAGATTCCCATTTCCTGCACAAGGCACTGCTCTAAAATTAAACCTATTCTTTGTGCAAAAGGACTTGAAATTTAAATAGCAAGGCACAGACATCAAAGGCAACTGTTTGCTACAGTAATAGTGGACCACTCTGTTAACACCCATTTTTAAAACAATTCCAGGCTCTACCAGAAAACCAGAAACAGCTGGATCATAGCAGCAGACCCAGGAGTGCAGTGGGGGTCTCAGGTCCCAGGTTTGAGGTGAGAAAGCCCAGCAGGCCATGGAGCATAACCTCCCCAGGAGTAATTCAGGAAACCCCCAAGTGTGGCACCCATCTCTTACCTCTTCCACATTTATGCTGGATTTTGCACTTGTCTCCAAAAATTTGATTCCGTAATCAATTGCTAACTGGAAGAGAGGTTAAAGTTTTTCAGTTGTTTTGAAGTCCCTTTGTAAAAGTAATGTTTCACACAGGTTCACAACAGGTTCATAACAGAATAGATGCTATACAAACTATAAAAATCAAACCAAGCACGTTTCACTTCTATTTTCTCTTGCAAGAACATTAAAGACAATTAGACAAAGTACTAGAACTCATCATACCCTCACATAAAGTCAAAACAAAACAAAAAAAGGACATTAATTTCTCACCAAAATACTTATTTAGGCTCTAAAAGAACATTAAGGTAGAAGCTTTCTTGATATGGATTGTGGACCAGAAAACTACAATGCCATCATCCCATAAGCAGTGTTACCAACAGCCAGACTACTTCAGCTGTACATGAGAGAGTTTGTAGGATTCCTCCTCACTTGTTTGTTCTGTAGAACAACTCATTAATTACTTAACCTTTAGTAGCAGCACTTATAACCAGGATAAGTAATCACCTTGAATAATTGAGTACAATTTGGTCAAATAGACAGAAAACTTTCTATTGAGATCTAGAATATTTCATGGTATAGCAAAGGTCAACATTCTTGACAGGATCTTGCCCTCAGTACCATCAAGTTTATTCAAACCTGAAGACAGTTAAGTGCTATTTAAAAACAAAACAACCCCAGACCTGGCATCCTACACATATAAAAATTCATGAAACAAGAGATTTGAGACCCATGCTCTCTCACATGCCTAAAACATACCAAACACCCAGAAGCTAAAATCCTACAAGAAGTAGGCTTCTAATTAGGGTGAGCTACCAAATCTTACCTTCTCCCCTTTTTCTTTTGAGACTTGTCTTTTTTCATTCATATCACACTTGTTACCCAAGATCATTCTTTCTACATCTGAAGAGGCATGCTGGAAGAAGAAAAAGTAATCTCTCAGGAACAAAGTGCATCATTGTTGAGAAGAAACTTGTGTGTCAAACTCCTCCACAACAGACTATTTTATTTTACAGAAATGATCTAATGGGAAGGCATTACTGAGAGAGGCTGACTCTTGAAAACGGCAATTAAAATATTAAAATAGGCTGGAATAAATACTCCTAGATTGCATTTGTCTATGTACTATAATGACCTATGTGGCAGGTTGCACACACGCACAGGCATTTGGCTATTCTGGAAATGTAACAGCAGGCACTTTACTCCTAAGTGCTGCATGGCCATATCTGCTGGCTACTGCAATGGAAGTGAGTAATTACTTGATTTTTATTTGTCCCAGGGAAATCATAAGATGGAATGAAGCACTTACCTCTTCTATGTTCCTTATCCAATTTTTTATGTTGTCAAAAGACTTTTCATTTGTGATGTCATACACCAGCATAATTCCCTAAATAAAATTAAGAAAATCTAGTTAGATGAGCTAGTACAATTGGCTGACTTTTGATGTATGCTGTAGTTTTAATTATAGTTCCAAAAAAATTCAACACTGGATTATAAGTGAGTAAGTCTTTTCTCAAGGCATTATGCCATGGCTTGGAATTTACCCAGAATACTACCATTTAACATTTTTTGCCACTGTTAGAGGTCAAACACACCACCTATACTTTTAATTACTAGCCTATAGTCAGGGCAAGTTTAGAAATTCTACTACAGCAGCCAGCAGGACTCTGGTTAAAGTCACATTTAATGCAGCAGCTTTAAGCAGTCCAGAATCCCAAACCTGGCAGCTCCAGTCTCTGGGGCCAGCAGGAACTTTCAGCCCTGGGGCTCTCCCAGGAGCTTCAGCTCCTTCCAGCAGCCCTGGACATGCACTGCCATGGGATCTCAGCAAAGCATGAAAACCCCACAGCCACTGCAGTAAGGACAATGCAGGGTTCACCTCCATTTCCTAGGGCATTTCCAATCACTCCTCATAGGACAAACAGAAGTCCTTGGCCATGGACTGGGGAGAAGCCCAGCTCACTGCCAAAGCCTTTGGAAGCACTGCAGAGCTCTAACACAGTGCCACAAGCATTATTATTTCTCCCTGTGCTCTGCAACAGTGGAATCATTTGGACCTACAGCCCATGAATGTCTCAGATCTGTTCATACAAAGCAAAAAGAACCTAAGACAGCAGCACAGGGAGCAACCACCAAATCAAAATTAAAGGTGTCCCAACATAAAATATCTCAAATCATAGCATTAAGAACCATTACAAGTGTTGTGCCACAAGGGTGCAGGCTCTAAGTAAATTATTTGACTTCAAGTCACTCTCAATGGAGCAAAACATAACAGCAGGTGTTGCAGGTGACTGTATTTCTAGCCCAGACTTTGCATTCTGTACTGGCTGAAGGAAAAGCAATTCAGTGAAACACACTTTTAATATTAAAATAATTCATTATCCATTTTTGAAACACTTCAAGTGTTAAAGGAGTTAAAAAATCCCCGAACCTATCTGATTAAAGCTTGGTAGCATATTTCATTAAAATCTGCAGAAATTTTAATTATATTAAAAAACACAATAGGGCTGGAAGTTTCATCACAAAAAACAAGCCTAGACTGAGTACCAGCACATTAAAAAAAGGAAAAACAGAGAGCAAACCCCCAACCAAACCACACACTTCATTCCCCACATCTCAAGCCACAATTATCCAGTCCTCCAGTGGAAGACTTACAGGACCCAAACTCAGGAGCAGCAAACCAGTTCCACTAGTTGTGTTTAGGGCTTTTTTTGAAGTGTGAGCACTCACCATGGCTCCTCTGTAGTAAGCTGTGGTGATTGTGCGGAATCTCTCCTGGCCTGCTGTGTCCCTACAGGTCAGAGGAAAAAAGGATTTGTTTTACACTCATGAGATGTCTTATTAAAGAATAACAATGCAGTGATACTTGTTCATTAGGAAAATCACACTTTTGGCTGTTTGCATGAGTTCCTTCAGCCCTCAGCAGTTTCCTCACACCCAAGGTACCCTCCTTACACCAGCAGCTAGGGCAGCACCAGAAATATGGCACAAAACCACTCCAGTTTACATGCAGGCAATAAAACTCAGCACTACACAGCCTGCCCTCCAGTAATTCAAAATAAAAAGCTCTGATGCATCCAAGTCCTGTCTTAAACAGAAGTTCAAACAGCCCCTACAGCTCAGTGTGCTGCTGTTCTGTCCTGGTGACCTGAGAGCAGCACCTGCCTGGGAGTGACTCAGCAGACCCAAGTGTTTGGATATATTTGATATTTGGTGTTTCCAGTCACACCTCAGCAGAGCTGAACCCCAAAGGCCTGACAAAACCCTTTTTAACCTATCCAAACTCAGCTTTTTTAACTATATGACAGACAGAACATTTTTATCAGCCACCTGTGGCACTGCACCTCCTTAGTCACCAGGAATCTGGCTCAGGAGATTCAGCTTCTACTAAGCCACCATGCAAGGAATTATCACTCACCTGGGCCTTGGTGAGTACAACCAGGTATCAAAGTACCAGAGGAGATTACATTTTATGGGCTTGCATATTTTAGCTTACAGCTACCGAGTTAATATTTCTCCTCCACAGGGAAAAGCTAAAGGCACATTTAAGAGGACAGTTTTTGATAAACTAGGAAATTGCTGTAATGCTTGCATGTGAGCAGGCTATTTCCAATGCTGCTGAAGCAGAACCACTCCAAGGGCAAGCCAGGAGAAAGCACAAACCTTATGAACAGTCATTTAATAAAAGGTATGAAACTTCTGGTACATTGAAGTTCAAAAGCTTTGAAGTATTCTTTCTCAAACTGAATTCAAGTTATTGAAAACCTGAATTACTTTGGAACACTTACCATATCTGTAGCTTGATTTTCTTTCCATCTAATTCTATTGTTCTGATTTTAAAGTCGATTCCTGCCAGAGAAAGAGACACTCCTAAGTTTTGCAGTTAATGAAAAGGAAGTGTTCAGTTTCCTTTTGGCAATTTGGTAAGAGCAAACTTAGCCAAAAGAACCATTCTGAAGCTGCCATTTCTTCCACACACTTGGAAGTGCTGAAAATGCACAAAGTTTTCAGCTGCATCCAACGTGGCAAGGATAAATTATTCTGCACAATGAAAGCAGGCCAAGCTCAGACTCAGTACTAGTTAGCCAAGATCATCAGAGGAAGACTTGATCTCCAGAACCTTCCATTTCACACCAATAAGGGCACTGGTATGAATGTGTATTTCTCCTGAAGATCTGACCAGCTCCTGCAGTTTGAGTCAATTCTCTGGTACCTCTGGCTCATCCTGTGACCCCTCAGTTCCTTCTCAAATCCAGCATCTACTTTTGAAAACTGATGTTTGATGCAATCTAATCAGACATCACAGTAAATGGCAATACAACACAGGAGATATGAGACTCCTTTTCCAAGAACAGTCATTTGCGAACAATTAAAATTTTCTAGGAAGCTTCAAAAAAGCATCAAGAAAACACTTCTCTCCTTTTCCCCTTTACACTTCCACATAGTACCCATCAGTTCTAAGAATGATTTTCAAAATAAATTTCAGATTTTAAGCCATAGGTTATTAAAAAAGATTGAAAAAAATTATTCAGAAGGGTTTAATAATGTTTTTTAAGGTTTAGAGGGGTGAAATGGATTTCCAAACAGACTAGCCCCTTAATCCCAACTACTGTAACTTTTGGATCTCTAAATCTGTATTACAACACAGGTCAAATTGGGACTGCTGAAGCCTCACTACTACATGACTGCCAGATTTTTCAATCTTGTGACAGTATCCCTCAGATTAATTGGTTTGGAAACAAATGGCCCACTTGTTCTTCACTGCATCTTAAATAGTTACTTGATACTTAGTTGTGGTTTGTAAAAGATGGGTGTAAGTTAGAAAAAATTAAATAAATTTTCTTAAAATGCAATTTAATTTACAATTATTGAAAGTATCTTAATTGGAAAAATTAAGCTGTTTCTAGCTTTAAGAATTAATCCAGATACTAAACAGGAAGCTATGGGAGATTTTACTACACCACAGTGGAAACTGAATATGAAATATGGATGTTCATTAGTTATTTGAATTTCATTCTTCTCACATACAATATTACTATTTTAATATATGGAAAATAACAAGTTTTGGCCACTTAATGTGCCATGGATACGTAGCTCAACTCATTAGTTAGAATACAAATTATAAGCAAAAATATCACATCAGCACTTAAACAGCACATGAAATTAATTGCATTAATTAAAATGCTATGATTGCCAGTACAATCGCAACTCCACAAGATTCACTGGTAGAAAAAAGAGACTTTCATTAATTCACAGTCTTCTAAAAATGACATGAGAATTATATGCACTTTCAAAAAATTTCTATCCTACGTAAGTTTGGCAAATGTCTCCATTTCCATAACAGAGGATATTGCTTCCCTTGTTGTAAAGATTTTTTTCTTAACTAGGTGCAATCACAGCTGTTGAAATCACAGACAATTGTATTCAGGTCTGAAAACAAATAACATTTGCCCTGAATGGATTTTGTTTTGGCCTCAAAGGTTATAAAGCACAAATATGGATTCCTCTGGAAAGAGCATTTTATCGTGGCAACAGCAAATTAAATCAGTTCCAAAAGTTCATTTGTGTCTAGGCCTGAAGCTTTGGGAAGCAAATATCAGGAAAAGTAGATTGAGAAGGAGAATTGTGCCTGCAGTGAGAGCTGCTGGAGCTGAGAACAGCAGTGAGGGATCCTGCAGGGGTGGCTTTCTGAGAAGGACTCAGCACAAGCTTCCCATCTGCACGAATCCAGCTCCTGCACAGACTGGTTTCTCGTGGTTACTCATTTCCCTTGCAGCACTGAAATTATTTATACAACCACTCCTTCTAAAAGTCAGGACCTGCACAAAAAATATCTTCTCAGAACTTACGATTCCTAGTATGAACTTCACCAAAATTCTCGATTTTCAAAGCGAAAAGAAGAATATAAAGGGAAAGGCTGTAAGTACCTCTGCAACTGTAACTTCTTGGAGGTTAAAATGAACTAGAAACTGATGTTTCTTTTGCTCTTCAGCATGAGGAAGTGGTGAGCTACACACATTGAGAGCAAGCCTGGTGACATGTGCTGCCACTTCCGTCCAATGCTCTTGCTTGGTAAAGCACAAACCACGATCTGCTCACTGCCACCTCCAAATTACACCATGGAAAACACTCCACAGCTAGAGATTGCAACACTGGCTCCTCACAGAGGATTTCTGCTCTTAATCCATTCTTCTTTTGCACAGTCATACACTGGGATACAAAAGTTTGAAAAGTTACTTAGGCCAAATGAAGATGAGTCAGTGAATTAAAGTTTGCTTGCAAAGGATCACACAGTTTGCAGTTTTAAAATGCAACATGAAATGCTGTTCTTCCAGTAGGGAGGAAAAGCCCAGAAACATCTGGATGTCCATCTGAAGTTAAGTTTTAGAAGCTTTTAGAAAACACAGCCCCAGATTAATGCTTAAGAGTGCAGATGCTAACAGGATAATTATCTTTAACTGCTGAAGTGGAGTTGTCACATGAAAGCCTGACACACTAGCATGTCAGTAAACATTAGCTCAGAACTATACAGAAACATTTGCTGCAGGAATCACAAACCTGCATTCTGCAAGGATAGAACCAGAATGTGCAATCTGAACTGCACATTAGTCAGGGCTGTAATTGCTTGCATTTCCCTTGCAGCATGGGGTAAAAGCAGCTGTGGGTTTATTGTTCTTCAAAATCCTTTCCAAATCCTTGCTAACAACAGGCAGAGGTGCATCCTCTCTCCTCACTTCACTGAGGGTGTGTTTGCTTCCATAGCTCCCAACACAACCCTGTCCAGGAGCACACTGGGCAGCATCCCTAGTGCCACACAAAGGCTCTCACAGAACCCCTGGCAGCTCTGAGCCGCTGTGCCCACCTTGCATTGCTCTGCACAGCTGATAAAACTCAGGGCATGCCTGGCCAGTGACACTCAGCCAAATGCCACAGGGACTGGCCTCACCTGGCCTCTTCTGGTTTAAGCCAAGAACTCCTGTCCACCTCATATCCCAAAGCTCTTCTGCCACTCCCTCTTCCCCTACCCCACTTCCCAGCTGTTTCTGCCCACCTGGGCAGATTTTGCCCATAATTAAGCTGCCATGCAATAATTTTCAAGAGACACAGTGAAATATTAGAAAGAGCTCTCAACACTACAGTAGTAAGCACCAGAAATGCCCAGCAACACACAGGGAGCAGTTCCTTTTCCAGCTCTAGTACCAGGGGTTTTCTACCGTGAACCTCAACAAACCAGCCTGACGCAGCCCTTACAGGAATGGAAGGACAAACTGAGCAGGGAGGCTGGAAAAGTTCATTTTGTTACTTTAGTTTTTAAAACAGTAGCTCACTCTCAGGGCATCACTGTTACTCTTTTGTTCTCCCCTCACCCTGATTTTAACCCTGTAGCCATCAGAGCCAATATCTCATGTTTTTCATGCTACAGTATCTGTTCCAGCTAGGACTCCACTACAACTTTCCCCTGCATAGCACCGCTGCCTGGACAGATTGTCTTGTTTGTTCTTTTCAACAAAATTGCTGTTGCAGAAATGCTACAGCACAAAGAAAGCAAAGAAACCAAACTGAAGTATTCTGGTTGGAGCCAGTAAGCTGTTCCAACTGTACCAGAAAATAATTCCTGAAGGTAAAGGTTTCTTTAGGGGGACTTGAGTCTGCTCAGCAAAATGCTTCTGGAAGGGTCAAGTTCCTGAATGTTTTCTACAAGCAGTAAAACACAGACACAAAAGTAATTTATACAAATGAAACTGAAACAAAAAGTCCTGCCACTGGCAGGCAAATACCAGAATTCTTGACCTTTACCTTTATTACCCAATTCAGCAGTATTATAAGTTAATTTTTCAGGTGGTTCAACACTAGTTTGCAGCAGGAGGACCTTATGTGTGCAGCTGTAGCAAGAAATCCGACAGGAAATCAGCACCATTCAGGATGTAAATAAACATCAGACTCTGATAGCCTGCATATCTACCCCAGCAGAGTATTGCTCCATCTCTGACAAATCCATACTTTAAGTATTCAATGTACTAGCATTTTAATTTGTTTACATTTTGGTTTTATTTCATATATAAGCCAAAGACATTTTAAAAACTCAGTGAATACAAAAATTGGCAAAGAAACTGTGAAAACATGAATGCCAGATTAGCTTGCTAGAGAAATCTTATTTTAGTCCCATCTATCAAAGAACATAAAAGATGCACCAGAGTTTATTAAAACTAAAAGGGAACTGTTTTGCATGACCTGCATATAATAAAAGCCTCACCCTCTTAAAAAAGCTGTCTTCCTACTGGTCTTACATCTAACTTTACTCCTTTGAAGTAAGAATGGAAGAATGAAACAGAAATAAAAAACTTTTTTTTTTTTAATGGGATTCCACAATAAACAGAACTTAGTGGCACTCACCACCAATGGACATAGACCACAATAAAAGGGATGGGGGAAGGAGTCAAGGTACAAAGTCTCATTACCCTTCTGAGCAAGTCAGCATGGGAAACATTGGAGTTTATGCATCAAATCTTAAGCCAGGCTTGATCCAGCTTCACAGCATTGGTCCTTTCTAGCCTGCTTGGTTTATACATGAGGTCGTGGGGTTTTGATTTTTTTCAATGGGCTGAGCTGGGAAAAGAGAACTCCTCAGGAATTCTTTACTGCAGGACATGTAAGAGTCTTAAGATACACAAAAAGAAAGGAAAACATTTTCTACAGTCACTTGGGTTAAGTGAATTAAAAGTAACTTTGAACCAAGCAAGTAGATTTGTAATTTACCTTCAAAAAAAAAAAAAAAGGAAGTGAGAAGAGGCACATAAATAACTGAAAATCAATATGCTTCACCCTCAGATTGTTGAATCCTGGGAATT